CTTTTTTTTTTTTTTTTTTTTTTTTTTGCGGTATGCGGGCCTCTCACTGTGTGGCCTCTCCCGTTGCAGAGCACAGGCCCCGGACGCGCAGGCCCAGCGGCCATGGCTCACGGGCCCAGCCGCTCCGCGGCATGTGGGATCTTCCTGGACCGGGGCACGAACCCGTGTCCCCTGCATCGGCAGGCGGACTCTCAACCACTGCGCCACCAGGGAAGCCCTGTTTGATTACTTCTATGAATCTGTCTTTCATTTTCCTTAAAGGAAGACATTATTGCCAAATAAAGCAGCCAAATCTCTGAATACCTCTCAAGGGTTTATTCTTTTTTTCAATTATTTTTAAGGCAGAATTCAAACACTTCAATTTTTAAAATGTTTTGAGAATTCATGCATCAAGACTTTTTATTTTTTGAAGCAAACATAGATGGCACCAGAATAGCTTACCATTATTTCTGGTAATATTCCTGAAATAGCAGTAACGGTATGCCTCAATTTAAAAATAAGAAGTAAGGAACATATACCTAAAAGGTATAACATTTTTTTAAAGTCTTTATTGAATTTGTTACAATATTGCTTCTGTTTTATGTTTTGGTTTTTTGGCTGTGATGCATGTGGGATCTTGGCTTCCTGACCAGGGATCAAACCTGCACCCCCTGCATTGGAAGGTGAAGTCTTAACCACTGGACCACCAGGGGAATCCCAAAGGTATAACATTTTTAAATGTTATAATTTGGTATAATGGTATAAATGGTATCATTTTTTAAAAAAAAATTAAGAAGTTCTTGAACTCAGTATATCTTACTCTTAACAGGTCGTTTCACCTTCTGTAAGTCCTTTCTTTAATTTCTTTCAGCTTTTCAGATTCTAACCATGTTCTCTGTAGAGAAAATTGAATTGTGGTGATGGTTGCACAACTCTCTAAATTTACTAAAAGTCTTTGAATCCTATACTTAAAATAGATGAATTTTATGATATGTAAATTGTACCTCAATAAAGTTGAGAAGGTAACCAACGTCCAAGAGTTCTTTGTGCACTGGTGTTCTTTGACCATTGGAATTGATGATCAGGTTGATAATAGCGCTATTTTGGAATTGAAACGAGTAGTCTGATGTGCAGGTTTCTAAAGCACTATTTCTGCCATCACTGTGATTAAAACAAAGGTTCAACTCTCCCCTCCTCCCCTGCCCACATTCTGGTGTTCTGTAATCATTCATTTACAAAACTTTTAGGAAAGGGATCAATGCGGGTGAAAGTTGAGCACTGAAATGTATTCTGTTTCACTCCGTGGACATTTGGCTTCTTACTGCCAACTCGGCACCTTGTGAGCATTTCATGCCCTGGTGAGATGACCTTGAATTCTTCACTTAGTCCTCTTAGCTCTGCAAGCTTTCTCCTTGCTAATGAGGATCCTTGCCCTTGGGTAGATAAAAAGAGAATCAGATTTGGTATCTTAGCCAGCTTTCAGAAAAAGTTAAAAAGAGTGGGTAAGACTGGACAGGCTTTTCTTGTTATGTTTCTTGTTTGTTTGTGAATTCCACATGGAATAAAATCTAAAACATTTCCCACAGTCTCTAAAGAAAAAAAAAACAAACTGTGCTGTACAGTATGTCAAAAATTTCCATTTATTTATGGTTGTTTTAAAAAAGAAGAAGGAAACAACTCGACTTGTTCTGAGGGAAAAGTAATCTGAAGAGCAACCTGTCAAGGTGGACATTCCAACAGCGCACTCTCACCGTGATACATTATTTCAAAGAAAACTCAGCAGTGAAATGTTTTCCGGTTAAAGATTACATGTTCCTCTATACTCATGTCCTGTTAAAATAAAGACTTTGTATGCAAAATTTTTTACACAAGGCTCTTTGGTTACATACCTAGTCCAGACCTCTCCAATGACCATGGTCTGGACCTCTTGCTAGTGTCCTCTGCACACTGGTAACCTTCCCATCTTCATTAACAGCTTTATTGAGGTAGTATTTCCATATCATAAAATTCATTCTTGTGACATGTATAGTTTCATGGTGTTTAGTAAATTTATAGACCTCACCACCACCACCACAATCTGAGTTAGAACATTTTCATCACCCCCAAAAGAAACCACGTCCCAATTAGCAGTCACTCCCCATTTGGACCCCTATCCCCCAGCCTCACTCCCTGAGAAATCACTAATCTATTTTCTGTCTCTATACAGTTACCTACCTATTCTGGACATTTCACATACATGGGCTTATGCAATATGTGGTCTTTTTGACTAGTTTCTTTCACTTAACATCAAGTTTCCAAGTTCATCCACGTTGCAGCCTGTATCAGTACTTCACTCCTCATTATTGATGAATAGGATCCCATTGTGAAGATAGATATACAATGTTATAACCATCCATTCACCGGATGACGGAAATTTAGGTTGTTTCCCCCATTTTGGCTATTATGAATAATGTTGCTATGAACATTGGCGCACAAGTTTTTATGTGGACATATGTTTTTATTTCTCTTGGGTAAACAGATAGAAGTGGAATTGTCAGGTCATATGGTAAGTGTATGTATAGCATTTTAAGAAACTGCTAAACTGTGTTCCAAAATTGACCAAACCATTTACAGCCCCACCTGCAATGTATGAAGGTTCCAGTTCTCCACATCCTTGCCAACTGTCATGTGGTGTGAAGTGATATCATACACACACACACACACACACACACACACACACACACACACACACAGTGCCTCCAAAATATTTCAAAAACATTTTTAACATCAAGAGAAAAGTACACGCTCCATAGCCCGTCACAGCTAAACTAGTCCAGTTTCTCCTACATTCATGTTCAGTCCTTCAAAACTGTAATCAAAATAAGGAGGTCTATTTAAATAATTGTATTTTTCCACTATAAGGGGGACCGATTCAGGAATAAAACTTATATGAGCTGTCACCTAAGTAAAGCCATCTTTAAAATATATTGAGATGCGTTTCAACTGCTGAAATTTGGTGTAACAAAAGCCATAAACAATTGCAGGGTAATAAACTCCAGGATTTAGGTACAATATTTCTTCTTTCTCACTGAAAAGTCAAATAAAAAGTTCAAAAATATTAATAAACTTTGTCTTTACTTTCTATAGGCAAAGCTTATCCCTGATAAATAAATGAAGGAGAGAAGCAATTGTGCTGTTTTCTCACTGCTTTGAGTGTTTCCCACTACTCATACTTCCCTGAAGCTGCCTCCTAAGTGTATTGCTTTTTCATTTTGGGAAACTTAGGCTATAGCTATTACCACCTGGTATGCAATTAATTGGTCCCAGGTATCCAGGACTATGGAGAACTCTAAGAAGTGGGAATTATGATTCTGGCTTTCTTAATACAAGTTCTATGTAATCTGTAAATATGTGAATTTCCATATATTTCCTTCATCAAGTATCCCTCAACTCCTACCTCATTTGACTATAGCTGGCTTGTGCCAGGCGTGACATTAAGTAGTATTTTCAATCCACTTGAAATACAAGGTCTTGAGAGGCAGCAGCTATATTGGGCATCCCTTCAGATCTTTTGTACATAAATAAATATATACTTGTGTGTATGTAAAATGTATATAAATATGTGTGAATATATATACTTAATTAGTGGGTTGACATTATACATTACACTGAATAACTGGTTTTTTTATTTAATCCATTTTAGATACTATTTCATATCAATACATCCTTTTAAAAATAGTTGTACAATGCCCATTATTTGAATGTTGTACATTTAAAAAATTAGTCCCCTATTTTGGACATTTAGAACACAAACACCCACATACATACATACCACATCACACTTATACAATAAAATTATAGAAGAGCAAAGTCAAAAGGTAAGTGGATTTTTAATTTTAATGCATAATGCCCTGTCACCCTCCCCAGAGGATACATTCCCACATTCCGTGTATGGGAATGCATCTTTCTCATACTTTTATTAATATGAGCTTTGTCAAACTGACTCTGTGCCACTTTGGTGGCATTCTGTATCTTTATGTTGCATAGGACTCATTTTGCCAATGTAGCGAGACCACTAGTGTTGACCAGAAAGGAAAAGAAAAAAATAATCATTAATATTTTATTCCCAAGTCAGCCACTCTTTTGCCTATGAGGGAGGTACAAGATCTCCTGTTTTGCAGCTAAGGGAGTATAGACTCAGGGAGAGTAAGTTGCTCACCCAAAGCCCCAGAGCTCTCAAGAGTCAGTCACCTTGGCCATGACCCTGCAGGCTTCCACATCATAGTCCAGCATCTCTTCAGTAGGAAGGAATACTTCTTCCGCTTCACGCCAGCCTGCAGAGCTGGGGGCAGTCACCACACGGGCTACTTTCCATCTCCCTCAGAGGTGAAGATTCTCTGCACCAGCCTTGCTATCTGGACCGAGGCAGACAAGGCATTTGTTTTAATGTCTTGGCAGTCAAGACTGTCTTTTCCTTGGTGTCATGACTGGAAATATTGGTGGCACACTCAGTCTCACCCCATCAGCTTAACTTCCCTCAAGGGAGTGACTGACTCTGTAAGATTAAACATGGCCACAGGAAAAAAAGAGCTTCTTTAAAGGACCACAGCGAAAACAAGAACATAACACGATCCTTCTAAGGATGCTCAGCTTAATGACAGTCAAGCCTGTGTTTGCATTGAAGAGCATCTTAGTCACCCCCAAGTTTATTAGGTCAAAGGTGGCCTCGCCTTGAACATGGGGTTTTCCTCCCTGTACCATATTCTCTGAGGAACAGCGAGCTCACACAATGAATGGATCCTGTTCCTTTGGGGAGCAATGCTGAGCTCAGATCCATGGGTTCAGATCCACTTGAATCTTGGGTGTGTGACCTGAGGCAAGTCACTCCAGCTCTCTGAGCCTCAGTTTTCTACTTTACCAAATGGACATGACAACACCTCCTTCTCAGAGCACCGTGTGTCCTCAATGAGATAACACATGCAGGGCCCTTGGTCAAGACAATTTCAAACACACAATAAAAACTTCACAGTTCTCTGCTCTCTCCTCTTCCTGCCCCTTGTGGAGGGAGCCCCAGATTCAGGGGGAGAAAGATGAAAGCCGCTGACTTGGCTCCTGGGAAGGGGCAGAGATTTCTGGACTCTGGTTTTAGGAACCAGAGTAAGGGTGGTCTGTTTGGTGAAAGTGGATGTGGAGTGCATGTGTGTAGGCAACAGATGTCAGATAAATAGTGAGAAGATAGGTTTTTAAAGGATCTTTGCGAATAGACAGAGAAAATTTCTGTATTTTTCGTTTGCTTTAGGGAATAGAGGATTTCATGTTCCAGAAAACATAAACCCAATATAGATCCCCTGTGAGAGAAAGCATAGCTGATATCCAAGGTCTTAAAGATGATAAAGAAACATGACTTCCAATCTCTGGAAATAGAGCATGTCCTTAAACTCAGGCCAGGTGAGGGTCAGACAACAATGGGGGCATGTGCATATCAATTTGATACATTTCTCTGAGATCTTCTGCAGGAAATAAGGCACCCACCCAGGTGGAGGATGGTAACTTCAGGCTGAGCACAAGCTGTGGACCCCAGACTGGTTGGAACCAGAAAGAAGGCTGATGATTGAGACTCCTAGAGCACCACCCTCTTATATCACCACCAACAAATCAGAGGAGGGTCACACACCCTGCAGCTCTCCCCCTAAATTTTGCTTATGAAAACTTCTCCCCTGAAACCCATCGGGGAGTTTGGGCCTTTTGAACACGAGCTGCCCATTCTCCTTGCACGGCTCTTACGATAAACCTTTCTCTGCTCCAAACTCTGACGTTTTGCTTTATGTGGCCTCACTGTGCATCGGGAACACAAACTTGGGTTCAACAACGTAAGTAATAGGCCCAGAATGCTGTCAGCAAGAATGGAGCCCGAGAACACATTAGAAGCTCATCCAGGAACAGAGCTGAGGAAGGCGGTTCAAAGAGCTGTGTGTGTACGTGTGTGTGTGTGTGTGTGTGTGTGTGTGTGTGTGTGTGGAGTGGGGGGGGTGAAACAGAGTGTAAAAAGCTGGAGAAGGAGAATATAAAAGAAATAAGAAAATGTGCTGTTTGGGCTTTAGGAGATTAAAATCTAATAGAGGAAACCAAATCTATATTGCCGTATCTAATATGTCCGTCTACCTATCTATCTAAAAGTATTTCTCCAAAAGCTGGGAGAACAGAGTAAAGTGGTAAGCATTCTGAGATAAGCCAGAGAAGTTTCTGGAAGGATTTGACTCTTGAAATGTGTGTCCTAAGGGAAATAGGGAACGTGAAATTGAATGGAAGAGGGATGTATAGAAAAGGGTTTTAGGAGGGGGGGAGCCCCAGTCCTCTGGTGCAGGAGGGAGGGAGGGGTGTTGGAGGGAGAAGTGTGAGGATGTGAGGGGGGTATAGCTTTACTCAGAAATGTATCCCACAGATCAGGAAGGCCTGGTTTATGGGCAAATAGAGAGGGAGGTGCCCAAAGCCGCATGTGCTCCAATGGTAACTTTGGTTCTGACCAAAGCTTGGGGCTCTCTCTGATCCATCTGGAAGGGTGTTTCTGCTTGCTTAAGACAACAGTGTTCAACCTTCCAGCAACATTTACCTACCTGGGCACTCCAGGGCATCTTGGAGAGCCTACAGATAAGGGCTAGATGGATGTGGAGTCCTCGGAAGCCCTGGCAAATTTTCTTCTTCAATTCATCCTCCAGGGCTCTGCCCCTTCAACCAATGTGAGTACCCTGGTTGGGGGGAATTTGCCTTGTGTGGATTAAGAATTGTTTAGAACGATCACATCTTCACAGCCTCCTTTCTCAGAGGAATTTTCCTTGGGAGCATTTATGTCTGATGAGCTCTGCTGTCAGCAGTACCACCAATAGTGCCCAAGGCACTTTGTTTCTCTGTCCATGAAATGATGACATACAGCTCGATGTTCAACAGGAGACTCTCAGTTCTAACGTTCTTTGCTTTGAGACAATACACACGGGGGCTGGAAAAACGGCTCTTGGGAATGTCAAAATCGAGTGAGGCCTCACTGCTGGAGACAGGGGTGAAGATTCCACCACAAGATGCTCATCAAAGACCAGGGACACATGTCCAGTGCTGGGGGCAGGGGTGGGTGTGTTGCCCTGGAAACCCTCAGTTCTTTAGAAAAGACACTCATTTTCTGAGATTGTTAAAGACAATGGACTAAACAAGAATTTTGAGAAACCTTCAGTAATAGAGATGGGCAATTTCATTAACCCACTGAGCTGTAAGTTCTATGTGTCCCCAGAACCTAGGCCAAAAGAATCTCTGCTGGTTGTGGGTGCTATCAATATATATTCAGTTTCTTATCCATGAGGATGTATATTTGTACGCTGAAACCATCGCACATTTGTCCCTTTTTTGTTGTTAAATCAAACTAACATAATATACCTAAATTCTCGTTAAAAACCTGTGAGCTCTGTGTTTTGTGGTGGTAAAATAGCCTTGAGATCTCTCTTAAAAGTATGGCAGCAGATTTCTCAAAAGTTCTACGCTCATGTATTTGAAAATAAGATACAGAATATAAATAAGAGAGTATGTGTGCATTTATGTGTGTGTGATGAAATATTACGAAATTATTCACATGCAGGGTGGTCTTATCTAAATGTTCATTATCTAAGTTCTTGCCAGTTTGAAGTTATGTAGAGAAACAAAGGTCATCAGAATATTATTAACTAATGAGTTTAAACAATTATAAAATTAGGGGCTTCCCTGGTGGCGCAGTGGATAAGACTTCGCGCTCCCAATGCAGGGGACCCGGGTTCCATCTCTGGTCAGGGAACTGGATCCCACATGCATGCCGCAACTAAGAGTTCGCATGCCACAACTAAGGAGCCCGTGTGCAGCAACTAAGGAGCCTACATTCCACAACTAAGGTGCCTGCGAGCCGCAACTAAGAAGCCCTGTAGCCACAACTAAGGAGCCCACCTGCCTCACTAAGACCCCACACAACCAAATAAATAAATATTTTTTAAAAAATTATAAAATTAGCACTCACTCAGATTTTCCTCCATGCCTAACTCTTAAACACCTAATTATCCAATGCAAAATGAAATTGAAAATCTTGTTTAAAAGTATGGGAGTAATGAATTTGATGAAAAGAAATGTTGGTGAACTCTTCCAACTATAGGGCACATCGTTGACAAATGAGGATATGGCACAATTTACCAATTAAACCGAGGGAGAGACTGAGGGAGAGAAAAAAATGCACAAAGAGGAACACAGAATAGTTGTTTCAAAAGGGAATAATTTGATTATAGAAGGATTAGGGAAAACTAATGAAGCCTTCAAATATTTTTGCAAACATGACCCTCTGTTTAGTTATGCCACAGTTATTAGACATGAAGTGAAAGATCTTCCAAGTAATCATATAAATTTGTCCAAGAAAGAAAGAAAAAACAAAATTAGCACTACTTTTATTTTCAAGAATCTATACTCTCTAAGAACACAGTTCTAACAATATAGTTTTATTTGCAGCATAAAATTAATAACAACATATAAGATGAAGTAAATTTATTTTATAATTCTTGTCCTACTTTTAAAGATAAAGACTCAACTCAAACTGGAATTGAAGTACAGTTGATGTACAATATTATATGTTACAGGTGTACAATATAGTGATTCACAATTTTTAAAGGCTATACTCCATTTATAGTTCCTGTAAAATATTGGCTATATTCCCTGTGTTGTACAATATATCCTTGTATCTGATCATTTTATACAAACTGAATTTTAAAAATGTATTTATTATAAAATTTTGTCCCCATCTAGGTACCAACTGTTGTCATATAGTAAAAACCTCCTCTAATATAAAACCTCCTTTTCTTGTAGGAAAGTCATAAGAAACAAACAGCAACAAAACAGAAAGAGAACGACCACCCAGAGAACCTACTATTAACATATTGGCCTAAAAACTTTCAAATATTTTCTTCCATCAAGAATGTACATAGAGGCATTCTTCCATGTCAGTGCTTTTCAGGTTTCTATTTCACGTAAGCTATTTTGTTTCCCTCCACCTTTTCCCTGAAGAATATTTTCTTAGTTCTTCATATATAGGAATAACTCTATTTGTGCTAATTTTCTGATCTTCTCCAGAGAAAGCAACAAATCCTGGTGCTATAAAATTTATTCATCCAAACATTGATTATGTCCCCTGTTATGAAATACAAGCAGAAGAGCCTGCTTTCCACCTCCCAGGGCAATGTTTCTCAAAAGTTTTTCATTATTGCCCTTATTTAGACATTTTCCCTAATTGCCCACTGATGGCTTTCAGTACTGTAGACACACTATACATCTGTTTATATACTATGGCCCGTGGGCGGGGTGGGTGGTCTATTAGTTTTCTGTTGCTGCTGTAACAAATGACCACAAATTGAGCAGCTTAAACACACAAACGTGTTATCATACATCTGAAGGAATAGAAGTGTGACTCACTGTGTTAAAATGATGAGGCTGCAGGGGCTGCATTCCTTTACGGAAACCAAGGGGAGAATCTGTTTCCAGCTTTTAAAGGCCACCCACAAGCCTCTGCTGGGGTCCCCTTCCTCCACCTTCAAAGCTAATGTTGAATCTGTGACTTCTCTTCATTGTCTTATCTGCCTCTTCCACTCTTAAGGGCCCATGTGATTACAGGGGGCCCACCGAGATAATCCAACATAACCTCCCCATTTTGAAGTCAGCGAATTAGCAAACTTAATTCCATCTACTACTTTAATTCCCATTTGCCACAGAGCATAACATGTGCACAGTTTCCAGGGATTAGGGCATGGACTTCTTTGATGGGATGGGGCCAGGATTGGGGGAGGGTGTTGTTATTCTGCCTGCCACAGAAAGCCACCAACCATCGTAATGCCTAATATTTTCTGGCCCCTTGAGAACCAATTTTCACCCCACTGGGGACAGTATCACCCCTGCTGTGAACACATGCTCTGGATACCAGCTCTCCCATCACCTCCTTCTCTCTTGTCTTTGGGCTTTCCAGCTGGGGGTCGATATCCTTCTAGACAAGAAATTCTTAGTATATTATAACAACTTTTCTAGATACACATGTGCATCTCAATGTACATTTTCCAAAATGAAATTAACAACACCCACATTTTTTTCAATCTAGAAAAACCCACCCTTGACCTAATACACCATTGCCCACAAGGAGAGCCTTTTAATTATCCAGTCAGCCTACAAGGCACATAATGCTGTCAAATAAAGCTTTCTCTATGTCATCATTAGAAATAATAGAAATCAAAATTTAGATTGGGGGGAAAAAAGTGAAACATACTTAAAAGTTTTTTTCTAGATTGTTCAGTGTTTGTGTCTCTTAAATGTACTTTTGCTATAAATAAACTATCTCTGGGATTTCTTCTGAAATATGGAATATAGAAACTGCAGTTAAAAACATGCAGCCTCTAGGGAAATGATCCAGCATGTTTCTTTTCTTTACTGCAGGTATTGCTGTGGAAGCAGCAAGAAGGCTGGTATTTTAGGCCTGGAGGCTTTCCCCACTGAAGTCTTTTTCTTTAAAAAAAAAAAGCCTTGAGCCAAATCATCAGATTTCTGTTCTCTCTGTTACATCAATTAATGGTACCCGAAAATCCAATTCAATTTAATTTTCTTGAAGTGGAAACCTAGGGGAAAACTCCTCTTTTTCAAAGGAAACCCACCTGAAAAACAGTCCTAGCTATCAAAAATGATCGCACTCTGGGCTTCAGGATGGCAGAACCAAAGTCACAGTAATGGTGTCTGGAAAGTGAGACAATTCCAAAGCACATTTATATCTACTTAGATAATTGCGTGGGAAGGGAGGCACTGATTCTATGCATTAAAAATAAAATCACTTATGAGAGTCGGAGAGTTCTCTTCATAGAGATGAAGCGGCTCCATTTTCGTGTCAGCCATTTTAAAGTTAAAGTATCTGGTTGATTCCACGCTACCCCTCCCTGCCCGCCTTTAAGATGATATTATGGAAAAGCCATGAGTCCCTCAAGTAAGAATCCAATTCTTAATTAAATTGTGCAATAGGTCAAGTAGGTTTTCAATAAGCTTGGCTGGCCAGCCCCCTTAAGTCCGACCTCATATCTATTTAATGAGGAGCCTTAGCTTGGCTGTACTGATGCTGTGGGTGCCGGGAAATTCCTTTTTCTAGTCTAAGTATACCCACAGACCACCCCCAAATTAAACCAGCTTTTCCTCATCTTCTGAAGGGTGACCTCTGCTTTCTGAACTAATAAGTAGCCAAAATGACCCATGAAACCCTTTTACTGGCTCAAACAGAAATAGTCCCCAAATCCAAAACATCAGACCACTTCTCGCCACCTCCGTCAGCAGCCCTGCCTCCTTGTCAAAGCTGCTGCTTCTCCAGACTCTCTCCGAAGACTCCCAGCTCCAATCCCAGCTCTCCCCACTCCTGCCCTTCACAGTGCTCCATGATCCAGAGGGATCTTTTTGAAGTGTAATTGTGTCGCTCTTGTCAATTTCTCATCTCACTAGGGGTAAAATCCAAAATTCTCACCTCCCCTACCGTGTGCCCCCTGGCCTGCCAGCCAACCTTCTCTCTGACCTCATCTCCAGCCACTCCTGGCTCCCTCCTCGTGTTCCAACCACACAGGTGCCCTCACTTTCTCTCAATCATAGCAGGTACAGCCCTGCCTCTGGGCCTTTGCACGGGCTGTTTCCTCTGCTTGGGATGTTCTTCCCCCAGATTTCTTTCTTTCTTTTTTTTTTAAGTTAATTTTTATTGGAGTATGGTTGCTTTACCCCCAGATTTCTGAATGGCTCATTCCTCCACTTCTCTCAGACCTCTGCCTACTGCTACTGTTTTGGAGAACCTTTCTCTGCTCACCTCATTTACAATAGTACGTCTCTATCCCTCTCTCCCTTGGTCCAGTTTTATTTTTCTTCCAGATTCTTGTCACCCTCTGATATGTAAGGATTTGTTCCTAAATCTTCATGCCTCCCCTCTCTATATACATAATATGAATCCCACGAGATTCGGGTTTTGCTTTGTTCACTGCTATATGTCATGTAACGGGACGTGTGCCTAATACGTGTAGCTCAGTATATAATCTTTATTGGACAAACGTTTAATGAGCAACTCCTGTGTGGACAGTACAAGGATGGCTCAGCTATGAGGGAGCCACTACAAATAGCGATACTGCAAAGGAGTGAATGAATGGCATGTGGAGACGATGGGAGAATTCTGACTGAACCAGAAATCAGGTAACCTGTGTTCCAGCCCAGTTATGCAGCTTATTAGTTTTGGAACTTTATGTTCCAAACTCTTGTATGCTCCTGTAAAAATGGAATTGATAATGTTTGCCACATCAAATCACTGCAAATATTAAGTGAAATAATGTAGATGAAAGTACTTAGTGAGACATGGCATCATCTTGACTTGGACCCATGGTTTCTGACTTTAAATCTAATGCTATTTCAACCCCTGCAGGTGCTTGGGAGAATCAGACAGCTAAGTCTGTTGAGAAATGGTTGAGTTCAAAGTACATTTGTACTCAAAATGGTGATCTCTGCTGTTGAGACTGGAAGCAGTTGGGTTCTCATCCTCTTAAAGTAGTTGCTGTTTTTCCTTTGCATTAATAGAAGAACAGATGTAAACCACTAATAGCATTTTACGCCCTAGCGAATGGCCCTCTGCAATCACGACTGTCATGACATATTTTTTTTTTAAGTAGGTATTTACTGGTTACCGATGAGGTATATTCCAGTGCATTCGTCATCCCAACCATTTCATGCTCTGCAACATGAAGCCTACTTCCCAAATCCTTTGGTATCTGCTCCTTCTGCTACCTTTTGTAGCACATAACCTAAGGTTTTCAAAGTTCATGTCTTTGATGTGAATTTAACAATTAGCATCTGAGGTACTTGTTGTTGCATAGTCTCTTTTTTAGTAGGAACTTCTTTTGGAAGATACAAATCCCAGTAAGTGTTGTTTCAAAATGTCTAGTTGTCTGATTGTGATTGGAAATGGAGGGTCCTGCGTTAGGTAGATATTTTCTTTTTTTAGTGGAAGTAATTTGACAGTCGTCTTAGAGAGCCCTTTACGTAAACTGAATTGTGTCATCTGAGAAAAGATGACACAAACATTTATTTTCTATCTTCATTCACACAGCTGAGCAATACCCTGTGTGTAAAGGCATGTACTGTGGGTTGAGATAATGATTTGTGCTAAGAATATATTTCTTACTTCATTGTTTCATGACATTGTCAATCAGAAAAGACTTACAGAATTTGCACTTTATATATATATATATTCATACATATAACTTATCTTGATGAAAATTTAATTTTGAATTTTATTACATTCATATGGAAGTTATACAATTAGGGTTTTAAAGTTACTTTACTTCCTGAAATGTTCTCTGGCTTTTATGTTACATTATAGTAACAAATAATAGCTAGATTTGCATTTTAAAATGTACCAATTAAACTATTATGCTACAAATGGATTTTTCTGAGTAGATCGATATAAAATACATGGTGTCTAATTTTTATATGGGCTGTGAGAACTATCTAAACGTGTTAATATGAACAAATGGATATTTCTTTTTTAAAAAAACAAATAAAACCTAATAGGAAAAATCAAGAATATCAATTACATTTAATGGCATCATAAAAGCAGAAGCTTTATTTTGAGCTGTAAAAGCTACCAAAAAAGAAAAATGACTGTCTTTCTCAAAGAACAAACAGCTATTATTTATAATTTATTACTTTAATTAATCCTTTTAATTATAAATGCATAAAATAATGAATTGTTCCTTTCAACAACAATGGGAAGAGAGGTCATGTAAAATTATTTTAGAAATTTTCAAAGTACATAAATACTTGGAATAAAGAAAATACTACATGGCTCTAAAGTAATAAACTGCTCTCATTTTACATTTATGTCTTTGTGGTTATAAGAGGCCAAGGATTCCTACATTTTTTTCTCTCTTGCTCTTTTCTTTCAGAAGAGTCCAGTCATTTAAAAATTTGTCATACTTTCATCAAACATGAATATTAAACTCTCACAGATTGGTACTAAATATATATGCTTTGAGCAGTATTCTAATCTCAGTTGTCTGGGTCTGGCTTCCTACGCGGGCCTCTCACTGTTGTGGCCTCTTCCATTGCGGAGCACAGGCTCCGGACGCGCAGGCTCAGCGGCCATGGCTCACGGGCCCAGCCGCTCCGCGGCATGTGGGATCTTCCCGGACCGGGGTACGAACCCGTGTCCCCTGCATCAGCAGGCAGACTCTCAACCACTGCGCTACCAGGGAAGCCCCCAATATGTACTTTTAATTTAAAATATTTTTGCTACCAAGAAGGAAAGAAATAGCTTGTTTTGCTTAAATTTTTAAGACTGGCTTTCCATATTAATCAAGGTAGATTAATCCATTAATCTATATTAATCCAGGTGGAGGTAGTTCATTACTTTAACTTATTAGCTTTATTACTTTCAATTTCATCCCATGACAGAACAGTCAAATAGAGCTATATTAGTTCAAGTCACTGAATTTGAATATTTATAAAGGGTTTCTCTTTGAGCACTTTCAATTAAACAAAATAGTTTGGGGAGTATGAGATCTGATTTTTGCTAATGGACAGGTAATTTAGGATGCTTTAGATTCAAATTACATGCCTGCTACAATGTAGTTTAAATGTGTATCTTCTGAAGTAGTGTTTTACTTTTTAACTGCCTAGGGGAAAACTGAGAAATAAGGAAAGAAAATGGGGAAATATTGTTTGAAAAGACCCCACTTAAAGTAATCTGCTTGTTTTATCGTTCAGCTCAAATTTTGCGTTCTGATGCAATATCCCAGAAACACTTGAGCTATATATTATAGCTCAAAGAACAGGCACAGCAATTCCAAAGCTCAGTAGAACCATCTTCCTGGTCATAAACTAGACTGGTTGGGATTTTTCACATTATAAATCACCTACCACACAAAATAAGTAGCCCATAAATTGGTTTTTAAAAAAAAAAAAAAAAAGGTTTTTAAAAAGTGCTTATGGGAAACTGAAAACTTTTGCAATGCTCAGAACAAGTAAGATGAGAATGACTTGGAGCCTACAATCTCCAGGTTACCACAGGGAGGGGATGAGGACGCCAGTGAAAGGAAGATAACTTTTGTCTCCCTGTGTTTCCACAAAGTTCATTCTTTGGGCTCTCAAGTCACTCAACAACTTCCCTTACCTTGGCAGGAAAATCTGGGAGGTTCACCCAAAATTCTTCTGTTTCTTTATTACACCCTTGTGGTGGCTGATGTAGCCCCCTCTTGGTTTCCATGGCAGCGTCCATCCTGATGGCCAGACTGGGGGCTTTGAGTGGCTTGGACCCAGTGGTTATCATCACACACAGGCTTACTGTGTGGTCACCAGTATTCGTCCCCGGTGTCATTACGCCTTTCTTAGCCTATAGCTAACATGGCCTCCCTCTACTAGGCTCTTTTTTTTCCCTTTCAATGTTGCTGTAGTTCTTACTGTTTTACCAACTCTTCAGGTATGGCTTTTATTTATTTTACTCCCTGTCTTGAAAAAATCCATGCTAGATCTCATGGTCAGGATCATAGGACACTTGAGATGCAGAATTGGCAGTTCCTTCCTGCTCATAATGAACTTGCACCCTAGGAGAGGCTCAAATGTTTAGCCCCTTCCATCCCCAGAATGAGTCATTTTCCCACCCCAGATTTTCAAAAGTTTTATTCTTGGGACTCAATAATTATTTCCCTTATTCTTTTGTTTCTCTGAAGAGGCTTACCGGGAACTCTATGAACAAAGAACTCCAGGAAGTCTAATAGTTGCATTTATGAAAGGGATAACCTTTTCAGAACTCTCATGAGCCATCTAGTAGAATTGCTACAATAATTGTTCTTTTAAAAGGACAGAACTCTCAGGTATATATAAAGAAATGGACTTAACAAGGTGAATGTTCTTAAGACATAAGAAAATGTCCTTTTGTTGGGGATGCTGTCGGCAATGAACTAGAAGTTAAACTTGGTTGCTTAGTTTCTTTTCCTGTAGCTTTAGGAAAATATGTAAATTTGTACACCTTCATGATTTTTTTTTTCCTTTCCCTCGTTAATTTTGGGGTGGATGTCATGCTGATGGTGAAGATTCTGTCACATAGGAGCTCAGTTTTCCCTAAGAGGAATGAGTTGGCTATTGGAATAAAAATTATCTTGAATAATTAGAATTTTAAGAACACTGATAACCATTAAATTATAATAGAACTAAACATGAAACTTCAGTGGTAATGTGGCCAGCCTGTTTAATCTCTATATAACAAATAAAATCATGACTATGGAGAATCAAGTTTTGTAGCCATTTTTACTCCTTTTAGAGGACAAGAGATCCCCCTTCCCCCAGTGCTGTCTCAGTCTGATCTCAGAAAAACACTTTAAATATACTTTATCCATAAACATGAACAAAGTAAAAGAAGGCTGAACGTACTCATCTTCATGTTCATGTCTTTTGCCTGTTTTCTGTTTCTTACTGATTTATAAGCATTCATATATTCTAGATCTGTGTTGTTTACTCCAGTGGTTACATGCTGTTGAGCACTTGAAATGGGACTTGTCTAAACTGAGATGTTTTGTGTTAACATAAAAATCGAATTTGAAGCCAGTATTAAAAAAATGTAAGCTACCTTATTACCAAGTTTTATACTAATTACTTGTTGAAATGATTACATTTTTAATATATTAAATAAAACATATCATTAAGTAGTTTTTGTCTGTTTCTTTTGATGTTTTTGAACATGACTATTCGAAAATTTAAAATTGCATATGTGGTTCACATTATATTTCTATTGGATACCACTGTTCTAGCCTTATACCAATCTCCGGTAAGTAGCATATCTTTGTGTACGTGTATGTGTGGCTTGTCTTTCTCTTCTTGGTATGTGTTGATGAGGAGAAGACATGGCTCTGGTTGCAGAGTAGAGACTGTAGGGGGCCAAGGAGAGAAGTGAATGAATTCCAGAAAATTTGTGGGAAAACTGCTGATGGGTGAGATGTGGTGAACAGGGACGTGGAATGGTCAAGGGTGACTTGGGTTTTTAGCTGAACAATGGTACCATTTACTGTGATGGGAAAACTAAAAGGGGAATACATTAAGTGGGGAGAACAAAGTGATTTTTGAGCTGTTAAGTTTGATGCAGCCACGTGGAGTTATAAATTGGGTAAGTAAATCTGGAATGCTCATAGTCTAAATTCCCCATGAGCAAGAGAATGAGGCTGTCTCTGACAGCTCTTTCGGTGTGTATAATAACCACAAAAATCTCCGTGGCATATAACCAAAAGCATTCATTTCTCATGCATTTGTGGAACAGGTGGGATTCAGCTGATCTGGGTTGGGCTGGGTTTCTCAGTGCAGGCTGGGCTCTGGTCTGGTCCAAAGGAGTTTACTGTGGGGTTCAGGCTTAAGATGCAGCAGCTACAAAAGAACCTCTTCATATCACTATCATGATGCTCACGACAGAACGACATTCTCATGTGGACATACCCATTACCTTGTCAGCCTCAGCTGGAATTGGCATATAATCATATTTGCTCTTACTCCATTGTTCAAATAAAGTCAATGGCCAAACCCAATGTCAATGGGATTGGGCACTAAACTCTGCCCACTTTAGCCATTAATAGTGAAAAAGCACGTGGCAAAGTTTGTAGATATATAAGGCATCAGGGTAGGGGAGGGTGTGAGTAAAGAATTTTTTTTTAATTTTTTTTTTTTTTTGGCCACACCGCGGGGCTTGTGGGACCCTGGTTCCCCGACCAGGGATCGAACCCCGGCCCTCTGCAGTGAAAGCGCGGAGTCCTAACCACTGGACCACAGGGGAATTCCTGTGAGTAAAGAATTTTGATCAGTGATTCAATTTACCACAAAGATTATCATTTTCAGATCAAAATAAGGGCTCCAAAATGCTTTGTTTGAAAAAGATTCTCCAGAGTTAGTAGATCTTCCTGATAACTTTTGTAGTCTGACAGTGAAGCAGGGTGCGTCTAGATGTGAAGAAGAGTGATCTTGAGAACATAATAATAACTAATAGATACAGGTGGACAGATGAGCTGGCAGAATGTCTGCTGCGTCCAGGTCTATTCACTGCTGGCCTCTGTGTGATCAGCCTGACTGAAGGGATAAGCAGAATGAGTCTTTGAGAAGCTACTTCACAAACTGGAAAAAAAAACGGGAGGACTTGGTTTTGACCTTTTGAAAGTTCCTTAACTTTCTTGATCCCCATATCTCTTGTTTGTGAAGTGGAAATGAAAAATCTGACTTTTAGGGTTATTGTGTGTATTAAAATGAAATAACGATGCAAAACACCTAAATACTTGCTAGTATTGTCTTTCGTTCTTATCTCTGTGTCCTGCAGATAACTGTTTCTGCCAGTAACACTTCATTGTATTTATTTGTTTACATCTTTCTCCTCAGCCTTCCCGAACTACCACCTTTTGAGGATAAGATCACATTTGTAATTGTAATATCTAGTACAATACGTGGCACACAGTAGGTACTCAGCAAAATTTTCTTTGACACATTGAATGACTTCTTCATTTTTATGTTATAGGGACAAGGGAAGCAAAGGCGTGTCATAATTTGTGGCTGCCAACCTTCTCTTGAATGACTCTATTATGAATTATTTTACCATGTAGTGAAAGGCCTTATAAAGTATCTGACACTTATTATGAGCTTAGTGACTCTTATCTTTCTTTCTTTTCTATCTGCAGATTTTTAGAAGGAACAAGAATGCATGAGCCCCGTCCCTTGGAACATCACAACACCATAACTTCTTTGATTAACACATATTTTAACCAACCTGAAAGTTCCCTTTTGTGAAGCTGATTCTACTACAGCTGATTCTACTACAGCTGATTGTGCTAAACAAATATGGTAAGTGCTTTAGTATTATAATGGCCAGAGAAGTTTCATTGCTCTGGTGAATTCTCAGAAGGGTAGCTGAAATATGACTATATCAGATAGTTACATAAGAGTTGTTCCCCCAAGGTTTTCTATAGTGAATTTATCCTGGAAAAAAAATGTTCACTGTTTATCAAAACCATCATCCTAAGTAAACTCATCTAGGTAGTGTTCATTATATGACACAGATTTAATGTCCTCTAGGATGCTATATGCCTATCTTACTGATAAAGATAAATTCTTGTAATAAAAACCAGTATGAACATCACCAAAATTAAGGAATGGTGTGCTGCAAACTACACCATCAAGAACATGAACAATCAACAGAAAAGGAGAAGATATTTGCAAGTCATGTATCTGATAAGGAACTTGCATTTTGAATATATACAAAGTTATACAACTCAATAATTAAAAGCACAAATAACCCAGGTAAGAAAAGCAAAGGAGGGCTTCCCTGGTGGTGCAGTGGTTGAGAGTCCGCCTGCCGATGCAGGGGACGCGGGTTCGTGCCCCGGTCCGGGAAGATCCCACATGCCGTGGAGCGGCTGGGCCCGTGAGCCATGGCCGCTGAGCCTGCGCGTCCAGAGCCTGTGCTCCGCAACGGGAGACGCCACAACAGTGAGAGGCCCGCGTACCGCAAAAAAAAAAAGCAAAGGATCTGAACAGACATTGCTCCAAGATGAAAAAATGGTTAACAGACACATGGAAAGATATTCAATACCATTAGTCATTAAGAAAATGCAAATCAAAACCACGATAAGCTACCACTACACACAGACTAGTATGGCTATAATCAAAAAGACAGACAATAGCAAGTGTCGGTGAGGATGTGGAGAAATTGAAACTCTCGTACATGGCAGGTGAGGGTGTAAAAGGGTGAAGGATCTTTAGAAATCCAGTTTGGCCATTCTTCAAAATGTAAAGCATAGAGTTACCATTACGACCCAACAATCCCACTTTTAGGTATATATACCCAAGAGAAATGAAAACATATGTCCACACAAAAACCTGTAAATAAATATAGCAGTATTATTCATAATAACCAAAATAAATAATTAGATTAAAAATAATTCAAAATAATAATATTAAAATAATATTCAAAATAGTAATAATAATTCATAACAATTCAAAATAACCAAAACTGGAAACAACCCAAATGTCCATAAACTGATGAATGGATAAACAAAATATGGTACATGCATATAATAGAGTATTATTCAACAATGAAAAGAAATAAAGTGCTGATACATGCTATGATACAGATGAACTTTGAAGACAATCTGTTAAGTGAAAGAAACCAGTCAAAAAAAAATACATGTATGAATCTGTTTATATGAAATGTCCAAAAGAGATAAATCAATAGAGACAGAGAGGAGATTAGTGGTTGCCTAGGGGAAGGGGATAAGAATGAGGAGTGCTTGCTAATAGATATGGGGTTTCTTTTGTGTGTGATGAAAATATTCTTTGGGGTGATGGGTGCACAACTCTAAATATACTGAAAAACACTGAATTATACACTTTAAATGCGTCCGTTGTATAATGTGTGAATTGCATCTCGGTAACGTTGAAACACCAAGTATTAGAATAAATGCATGCAAGGTTCGGTCGAGAAAACCTTTCTATGGAATTAGCTACAGAAAAGGTCAGGCTAGTCTTAAACTTTTATTCCATTAATAACAGAGCAATATTGCTTCCGTAGTGCATTGAATGTCTATCCGGTTGTGCTCTAAGTTTTGGTAGACAGTGATTAATAAAAGAAAGAAGGCATATGTGTTTATCAAACTTGCATTCTTGCAGTAGCAGGAGAAGCAACACAATGAAAAGCTGAAAATAAGAAATAATTTCAGATAGTTATAAATAACATGAAGAAAAGGAAAGAGGAACATTGAACATAGTAAGACTGGGAGTGGGGAAAGGAGGGATGGGGCTGTCCTCATTGACATTTGGGCTGAGACACAGATGCTCAGAAGTCCTGGGAAGACCTGGGGAATAGGGCTCCATGCAGAGGAAGGGGTCCCGTAAAGGCTCTGTGGTGAGGAAGACTCTGGCTGTGTGTCTGGAGCGGTGAGTGAGGGGCAGAAATAGGATAGGAGTTGGGGTTGCATAGGACATTACTGGAAGTTTGGATTTTATTTTCAGGGCAATGGGAAAACATTGAAGGATTTGAGGGAGAGGAGTGATATGAGAAACCTGTTACTTTTTTTGACCTGTCTACACCTAAAAGCAGCATCTGCTTCTAGATATGATTTAAATGATAATTTTCTGAACTTGATACTGAGTCTGAAACTCTAATGGGATGAAACTTTTGAGAGAGACGGTGAGTTTGCATGTGGGAAAAAATGTAATTGTGACCAGAGGACAAAATACGATTGAAAAACATGGCAATGATATTTGGCAGCTCCTTCCCTTAAGAGGAGCTATTCCCCTTATGTGGTGGAAGTGACACTGTCTGAGTTCTGGGCACTAGACCTTAAGTGGCCTTAATCCAGTTGGAACACTGCCTTTGTCTTGGATTATCTGGGTTGGCCCTTAATCTGATGACTGTGTCCTTATAAGAAACAGAAGAGGAGAGGACACAGATAAAAAGGAGAAGATGGTGTGAAAATAGAGGCAGAGATTGGAGTGATGCTGCCACAAGCCAAGGAATGTTTGGAGCCCCAGAAGCTGGAAGAGGCAAGGAAGGATTCTCCTCTCCACCCCAGACTCTTCACCCAGATCATTGCTCTACCAACACCTTGATTTTGGACTTCTGGATTCCAGAACCATAAGAGAAAAAAATTCTGTTATTTTAAACCACAAAGTTTATGGTAATTTGTTATGGAAGCCCTATAAAACTAATATAGGCAGATATTTAAGAATATTGCAGGGTCATATGGTACGTGATCATGTACCTGTAAAAAAAAAAACCTCCTAAACTGTTTTCCAGAGTGACTGTACCATTTTAGATATCCCCACAGCGATGTAAGAGAGTTGCAGTTTCTCCACATCATTGTCAACACTTGGTATTGTCAGTCTTTTTTATTTTAGGCATTCTGTTGGTAAAGATGATGTTAGGAACTGAATGACTGAGTCCTTCCCGAATTCATGTTAAAATCTAATCTCCAATGTGATGGTATTTGGAGGTGGGGCCTTTGGGAGGTAATTAGATCATGACGGTGGAGCCCCCAGAACGGGATTATTGCCCTTATAAAAGAGACCAGAGAGTTTAATAGCTCTCCTTCTGCACTGTAATGAGCAGGTGGAGACGTTCACAGCAAATTGCACTGATTACTCAGTGAAACTATGACAGAATGTCTGTGTCCTATAGGCTCAGGAACATGGTGACATTTTATTTTGTCTATTGCATGGTAGAAAGAAAGCTTCTCAGATATGTGAAATCCAGGAAAAATGGTTGCTGTCACATACTCCACATACTCCAGTTTGCTGCCACTGCTATCTTTTGAAGTACAAAGTATTTGTGTTTGGTCCCAAAGATGGAGGACAAATTTGATGCTACAGTTTTACTGAGAGTCAATTTACACCATCCACAGTCTAACTTAGAAAAAAATCCATCTTAACAGACAGAAAAGACATCATCATAAATAATAATCAAGTAACGATCAAGCCTTTAAAAAGAGAGTATTTAATTGCCAAAAGCAAATACCACTCTAAATCATAGCAACAAATGCCCAAGGAACCCTCCAAAACCAAAACAGTAACTATAGTACTTCTTGGCTTTCAGGGCCAACCCAATTTTCCTCTTTGGCGTTATACTCACTCACAGGGCGGGTATATTTGGCTGCTTAAATACTGTGCCATTTGCCAATATCTATAAATAGCTGTTTATTATTGAGTCTTCAGACAATAACCTGCAATTCTACATCATTTCCCCTTTTCATTTACCAATATACCATGTAGTGGGAAAATAACTTTTTTAAAAATTTCACGAAGATGTCAGGAATCGTTACAACATGGAAGTATGATTCTGTTATTTTACTTTTGCAGCATGTAATACATTAATTAATGTATGATGATGATTCCCTGAGAAAATTTAATTAAATTAGGTTGGCCCATCTCCTAGACTGTTAATTACTATAATATCAACAAGAGTTGAATATGAATATTGCATATGTCAAAACAAATGAATTTTTGGGATACTGAGAATAGCCATGTAATTTTGAGGTCCTGATGGGATTTGGCTATGAAAGCAATGTGAGATTGAATCCCCCTGATATTTTTATCTTGGGTTTGCTGTTTCTGTTTCTACATTTAAAAATCATAGACCCATTGAAAAACATTTAAATTCTACTGGCAGTTTTACTTAACTTTTAGTGTCTTGTCTTATGATTTCTTCTAAAGGGTAGGCTTTTACTTCTGTTTTTCTTTTTACTTTTTTGGTATTTTTATGTGACTTTTGTTTCAGGAATATCTCTTTAAAACAAATTTATACACTATATATTTTAGAGTAGTTTTAGGTTTGCAGAAAAATTTAGTAGAAGTTAGAGAATTGAGTAGAAATTAGAGGCTACCCCTCCCTCCTGCTAGATTGTCTTCCAAACAGGCTGTACCATTTTGTATTCCCACCAGCAATGAATGCGCGTTCCTGTTGCTTAATGTTCTTACAAGTATTTGACATTGTCATTGTTTTGGATTTTGACCATTCTAATAGGTTTGTGGTGGTCTCTCAATGTTGTTTTAATTCACAGTGCCCTTATGAATATGATGTTCAGCATCTTTTCATATGCTTATTTCCATCTGTATATCTTCTTTGGTAAGGTTCTACTGTGGACTTGAGAGAGTTCTTTGTATATTATGGATACAAGCCCTTATTGGATATGTGTATTTCAAATATTTTCTCCAACTCTATGGCTTGTCTTCCCATTCTCTTAACAGTGTCTTTCCCAGGGTAGGAGTGTTTAATTCTAATGAAGTCCTACTTAATCAATTTTTTTGTTTGGTGCTGTATCTAAAAAGTCATCACTAAACCCAAGACCACCTAGATTCTCCCATATGTTTTCTTCCAGTTTTATAGTTTTGCATTTTACATTTATGTCTATGATTCATTTTGAGTTAATTTTTGTGAAAGGTATAAAGTCTGTGTCTAGTATTTTTTGGTTTTGTTTTCTTTTTTGCTTTTTTTTTTTTTTTTTGGCATGTGGATGCCCAGTTGTTCCAGCACCATTTGTTGAAAAGACTATTCTTTCTCCATTGAATTGCCTTTGTTCCATTGTGAAAGCTCAGTTGACTATATTTGTGTCAGTCTATTTCTGGGCTGTCTATCTGTTGCATTGATCTATTTGTCTGTTCTTTTGTCAATTCTGCACTGCCTTGATTACTCTAGCTTTATAGTAAGTCTTGAAATTGGGTAGTGTCAGTCCTCTGATTTTGTTCTTCTTCTTAAGTATTGTGTTGGCTATTCTGTCTTTGGCCTTTCGTATAAACTGTAGAATCAGTTTGTTGCTTTCCACAAAGTAACTTGCTGGAATTTTGACTGGGTACTCTCTTTTTATTTTCTAGTCCCTGTGATTCAAATTTCTTCTTCTTTTCACTCCTATTATCTTGATAAGACCCTCCCTTTTTTCTCTTCCTTTTGTTACTCCATTGAAACAGGAAATTAGCATACACACCCTTTTCTAAGATATTTGCAACTCATTTTCAGAAGGGTTGAGCTTTTCCTAGTTCTACAAGTGAGTTTTGAAGGCTCCTTCTTACCTTGTTCAAGGAGAACATGAACTCTTTCCAGGCTTATTTTTTATTCCCTATCAATGATTCACTTATTCAAAACAGCTAAGAAATCTGTAAATCTGACAGGAGTCAAAAGTAGCTATTTATTGGGACTTCCCTGGTGGGCACTGGTTAAGAATCTGCCTGCCAATGCAGGGGACACGGGTTCGAGCCCTGGTCCGGGAAGATCCCACATGCTGTGGAGCAACTAAGCCCGTGTGCCACAACTACTGAGCCTGCGCTGTAGAGCCCGCGAGCCACAACTACTGAAGCCCGTGTGACACAACTACTGAGGCCCGTGCGCCTAGAGCCTGTGCTCTGCAACAAGAGAAGCCACCGCAATGAGAAGCCCGCACACCGTAACGAAGAGTAACCCCCGCTCGCCGCAACTAGAGAAAGTCTGTGCACAGCAATGAAGACAACACAGCCAAAAATAAATACAAAATTTTTTAAAAAGTAATTAAAAATAGTAGCTGCTTATCAATGTGAGAAAATATTGACACATTTTCTTTACCATGTTAGCTCATCAAGCCATTTCTGTTGACAGCTCTCACACACAGAGATTTCTTTTTGCCTATATCGTGCCTACATCCCTATACCAAACATGACCATGGGTTTCCATAAACATAGCTAAATGCCAAGTTTTGGTGTCCCGCCGGGCATAGCTGACACTGCAGGACACTTTTTCCAAAGAGTATCCTGCCTGCCTGGATGATCAGCTGCAGGTAGAGCTGTAGTCAGTAAAGTACTCACCAGGAAAGTATTTTAAATTGGAAATACAGAGCCTACATTGAGCTTGATGTCAGAAACACAGTCACAACAGAGCGTGGAGCAGCATTCACAGATCTTATCTACTGCATGTGCAATGGCAAAATCAAACATGACCTTTAAAAAGAAAACTCAAGTCAGTATCTGTATAGGTCTGTGCATGCGTGTATGTGTGCACACGCATGTGCATTCACAGGCATGCAGGCACATGTGGGCAGTCTTTTTCAGCTCCCAGCTCCCAAGGACAGAGACCTTATTTTTCCTATTCACTATATATGAATAAATGAATGAATGAATGAACATCTCATATATGAATGGACAATTTCACAAACGAAAAATTCTATCCCTTTTCCATTTTAATACTAGTCATCAGGTACTTGTTGGGAAAATATTGGTCTTCTCTATCATTGTGTGAGTCTCTTGAGGGCAAGGGCTGTGTGGTCCCAATGTCTATGCCTACGGCTCCTGGTACTGTGCCAGGAACACAGCACTCATTAAATCCTTTCAAGAGTAATAAATAATTATTGTAAATCAACTATACTCCAATTAAAAAAGTAATAAATAATTAACTGGAGGGTGGCCTCAATGAGAAACTCATTTGTGTGTGACCACTTAAAACTTTTTAGAAGCTAAAAATTGAAAGAAAGGAGAACAGAAATAAAAATATGTTCCTAAAGTGTCACGCGCATGCTTCTGTAGGCGCCTGTCTTGCTTCACCTACCCTCAGTGTAGATAAAATGTGGGGAAAGCTTTTCATTAAATTGTATCAATTTTATGATACTGAAATAAGAGAAGCAGAGGCAGAAAGATATTTGGGGTATAGAAGAGGCCGACGAAGGAATAAAGGAGAGGATATGAGATAGACAAGCAAGGGGAATCAACAAGAAGTTGCCTTTATTAACTTAGGAATATTGAAATTGTGCCACGGTAAAGTCATTTTAATGTGGTTTCTTTAAAACAGATGTGATCCTGGAAGAGGACCAAAGAATAGGAAGCCCTCCAGAGGAGTCAGGAGTAGTTGCCCTGTTAACCTAAGCAACCCTACATCAGGTTAGAGATGGTTGCCAGGGTCAGTAGCCCTGAGGAGAAGAGCGGCCATAGTTGATAACACCACCTGGTTGAAAAGAATAAAAAAAATATTTCAAGGTGATTATTTAATGCAGAGTCCCCTGCAAATATTTCCCATGTCTTGCTGAATTTCACAGTGGAGCTTTGAAAACTTTTTAATGTTAGCAAAATCATTATTAAACAAATTCTCTTCTTCCCAGTAGCCACAGCATTAAGAATAATCCTAAATTTCCACTAAATGGAATCTTGGCATAGCAAAGGAAATCTTTTCCTGAGTTAAACCATCAGCCAAGGCCAAAACAACCAAAAATAAGTTCTGTGAACATTTGGAGAAACACATCTTAAAGTATGAAGCACAACATTGCCCATAACCTGTTACGTAATAGAGCTACTGCTTCAGTTTTTACAGTGGGAGGGACCCTTTTAAGGATGCATTGTGTTAAGGGCGCTTCCTTTGTACACTTGTTGCCAAATCTAAATAGAAAGAAGTATTTCCTTGGGGTATGAAACCCAAGGTGTTGTGTGTGTGCTTGTAATGAGTTAGTACTCTCTTCGGGATTATCTCCATCCTGTCTGTTACCATCTTTAATCTTTTCTTTCTATTATTGTCCAAATTATAACTTTTCTCTTATTATTCCTCTACCTGTTATACAATTAGCAGTATCATTATGTTCAGAGAGCAGATTCTCTAGCCATATTTGTTTTAACTTTAAAATCTAGTTCTTAAGTTGTTGTGGAGAATGTTGGTATATATTTTCCATTACTTTAAAATCTCTGTACTACTGAATATTATTTGCCAGCATCACTCATTGAATCCATTCACCTATATTGATTGGTATGAACAAAACAAATACATCACGTTATTTGCCTTCCAAATTGATAAACCAATTCAATAAAATAAAAATAACTATGCTATTAAATGGTACAAATTAATGCTTTTCTACTTATAGAAGTACTTTATCCTAAATAAAATCAGATAGTTTAATATCTACATTTAATACATTGGTTTTCAAATTTGAATAGAGCCTATGAAATCAGTGTAACAGGTATTTAATTGCTTCCACTATTTTCACTTTGTCTGTTTATCAATTTCTGTCTTTCTGTAGTCTATACACTAAGAATTTTGGAATTTTAATGTAAGAGAAATCATAACCATAAAATTTGGGCATTTGAGTATGAGAGAAGATTGGAGACTTCAATATTTAATCCACTTGAATCTCTGCAGAGATTGATGCCCACCTATGTTTCTTCAATCCTCCTTTATTTCCTACATGTTTTTCTACTTAAAATTTGTTATTTGATGAGAATTTCAACTAATAGGTATTAATATCTTTTCATGAGAAATCTACAATTTACTTTAGTGTAGCAACTTGTTTAATTTATTAAATTATTTATGTTTTC